AGTAGGCGTGTGGCCTATTTTACAAAAGAATGATACGATCATATGTAGGTATATTCCTAACATCCTACTCATAGTGTGCGTGTCTACTAGTTGTTTGAGCTTGCCAACCTAAGAATGAGGAGAAGGATACCTTGAGGTGTGGAACCTAGGGAGCCAAACCCCCGCGGTCCGTGAAAGTTGGTATCAGAGTGAGACTGCTCGAGTGTGCACTGTTGATTATGGGGTTAATGGCGTGCATTCTTGTAGAGAAGACTTTGGGCCACAGATCACATTGGCAAGCTAGCGGAACACGAAGAAAGAAGCTATATGGAAGAATGATGAAAAGGACAGCATTCCTGGATTGTGTCTATGTGCCTTTTAAGGAGTTTCGTGGAGTGTACAATGTAGGGCAGAATAATGAAGATTGTGTACTTGCTAGGAAATTAAAATATGACAATCCCGCTCAACAGCTCGAGTGGCCCATGAATCGGCCTGAAAAAAGGTCGAGCTAGATCGGCTCGCAGCTCGTTGGAATCGAGCTGACACTCAAGCCGAGCCTCATTTCAAGTATTGGCCCGAGCTCGAGCTCGAGCCAGAGCCTTTCTCTCGTGACTCGGCCAATCCGCATTAGCCACATGACAGCTATAGCTGCCTTTGTAAAAAGAAAGGCAGCTCTATTACAACTGGTTGTCATTAAAAAATTAGAATTTTAGGGAAAAACAAGCCAACTTGGCTTGGGCAAAAAAAAGCTCGATCAGTTTTTAGCCATGCCCTTACCATGAACTTCAGCTAGTTTACATCCCTATTACATGTGCTAAGGCACTACAGTACGGAGGCCATCCATCCGACAGACTAATGCTTAGAGGGGCATATGGTGAAGGTTAGTGTCAGATGTGGTAAGTATGAGTTACTGTGGGTTAATATGCGAAGAAGCACTGTGTGACTGCCTGTCAACGTGGAGGTGGTGCCGTTGTTATTCTTGCAATGAGAGGGATGCGTGTTAATGCGAAGCTCACTTCTCACAACGAGAGCTTAAGCATATTCGAATGGGGGAAAATGTCACGTAGTGAGAATGTTTATCTCCCATTTGGCACTGCAAGGTCGCTAACAGCTAGGCATGTAACCTATTTTACCAAAGAGTGCACTAATAATATGATCATATGCAGGCATTTCCCTAACATCCTACTCATAGCATGAGTGTGTGGTAGTTGTTTGAGCTTACCAGCCTAATAATGAGAGGCAGGCTGCCTTGAGGCGTGGAACCTCGAAAGCCAAACCTGCGGTCCGTGAAACTAAGGCATCACAAATAAAAAATATGTTGTAGTTTAAAAGTTGTAACAAATAGAGTTGTTCATTGACTTATCCGCAAATGCTTACACGATCAAAATTACTTTTAAAAGACACTCTAACCCATGTACCGCACACTATGTTTACTCATTTTCTTTTGAGTCCACATTATAAGCAAATCTTATAGAAACAATATCCCCTTCACCTTATCTTATGTGATACCCAAGCATGTTACCAGAGGTAATAATGTGTATCATTGTAGAGCTATAATACTTTCACCAACAGAACCAACTCTTCTCACATTTTCTTCTCCTATTGTATTAGACACACAATCAGCTTGTTAACAGAATAAATGAAGTCATAAGCACAATTGGAAAGCTTCAAACTTTCATCCATGCCTAGGAGAGCAAAGCGACTGTGAATTGATGCACTGAAGCGAAAACCAGGGGAAGAGATATTTCAAATACACGAGATTGACGCAGATAGATTAGTTTTGTGGCTTGAATTCTCAGGAGGAGAAACAATGGCACTACAAATCAGCACGGATCATGTGTAGAAAGAATCTGTACCACTATCTCTGCTCATCAAAGAAGTGGTCACACAGTTTTAATTCTTATGACCCAGCCATGCATTGAAGTGGGAAAAGGGTGACAACAGAGCATACATTTATTTATTTTTACCCAACTCCGCATGTGCCTAGGTGGGGGTATAGCGCGAATTAAAATAAAAGAAAAAAGGGAGGGAGATTAACAATCTTACCTCCAATAATTACAAATGGAGGAGAAAGAAAAATTGAGAACTAATTGTTGAGGTACTGATCTTATTCAGAAACTCATTTTTAAACCTAATATGCAGCACTGGTAAATTATCCATCAATTCCTTAATTAGCCAACCCCTCTGCCACAAAATTGCCTTCTCAAAAAATGAGTAATCCATAATTATGTTCCTCGGACTCGAGTAAGGGAGATGGGTATGGCACATATATAGGAGTCAGAATCTTTTTCTTCTAAAACTTAATATATGGGGATACGTCTAAAAATGTTTTGCAAACATAAATTTTTTTAGAATATCATACACTAAAAATTTTATATGTATATTTTAAGGAGCGTAGCATTGAATGGGCTTGGTTTCTTGCCTTCAAAATCTTGATTTTATGCCTCAAAATCGATTTTATTGCTCTAAAAAGCATGGGCCCACTCTTTTGTCCTCCCTGCAACTTCTGCTTCCTTCTATGGAATCTCCCTTCCATGTTTCTACCATGTCCACTTCTAAATTGAAGGATCCAGCACATAACCATACTCATATCTATGTCGGGGCATATACATCATCGAAACTAAAGAGTCTGGGCATCATAGCCTATGAGGAGATTTATTGCAACGAACACTTAGCCCCGTTTGACTCCCATTAATTTCCCTTCCATTATATTTCATTTTTCTCTCTCTTATTTTCAACCACACAATCTTTCACAAAATAATATTACACGTAAATCGAAAACTTTTTCTTCTTTTTCAACCATTCATTTTTCAAAAAAATACTATTCCAACAATTTTCATTTCCATAAAATGGGGGCCAAATAGGGGCTTAATTTCTTTAATGTGGCACTGCATACTGCATTGCACAATAGACACCCTCGGTACGGCTCATATTACAGTAAAAAAAGTCCAGCTCCAACCATACAATTGTAAATCCTCTACGGGAGCATTATTTAATACCATAGTGATGCACAAAGTTAAACCTCTGAATTGGAGCAGTGATAAAAAAAAAAAAAAAAAAAAAAAAAAAAAAAAAAAAAAAAAAGGAATAACAAGATCACCTTCATTATTCATAATGCTCCACCATGAAGCCACCAGATTGCCCTTAATAAATTAAGAAAGAGCCAGTATCATCTATAGAACCAAAGATAGTATTGCTAGAGCTGATTTCACATCTCAGTGGTTAGACACAAAAAGGGAGTTGAGGCCACCACTCTTAGCAATCACAAATCAGCACGTGATAAGTTCGGGGCCGTCATGGTCGTTAAGAAATTGAGTTTGTTCCAGGACCCTTATATCAAAATAGCACCATAAGAATCATTACACCTTGTTAAATTATAATGTATTCGAAAGTCGGAACTACGAACTTTAAAAACATTGCAGTCCCTAAATTGTAGTTTTTACTACCTTGCCACCCACCCCTTCTCCATTAAATAAAGAAAAAGCATTGTTGCAAAACGGGGGATGTCAAATGAGGGAAGATGTATACAGAAGAAAGAAAGAAAGAGGGGAATCATTATCGTGTAACAATTATTAATCTGTCTAATATATATTTAAAAAGGCTTAAGAGAGTCAAGATTATTATCCATGTTTCCATTTTTAGGTAGTCCAAAATA